TTACAAGTCGGATTTCCCTGAAGACGTATATCTGGTTGTGTTTCAGCGAAACTAAAATATAATTCGAGTGCAGAGTAACTTGAAACGTGCAAAAAAGCTAAAACAACTTCTCTGACTACCCAGAAATAATATTAAAAACAAACGAACAAAAAACAAACATTAAACAGTATTGTTATTCGTTTCGCCACGCGCGCAGCGCAAAGGAAACACCGGAGTCCGTCACCACGATTTAAACGCCAGGCTTTCAGATAACGCGTAATAGTACCAATGAACTTCTGAGAAATCGATAACAATCCAGGCGAGGTCTGTGCCTACGCAGGCACGTGGGGTTCACAGCTTCCGATTGAACGAAAGATAGCCGGTTTAGTATCAGTGCTTGGAACTTCGGTCTAACTCTTTTGACTCCCATTGCAAGAGATCGGCGGGACACTTAACAATAATATTCAGCCTGTTTATCAGAGTAAAGTTGCAGACATACCATTATGTACTTAAGATTAATTTTCAATTTAGCGTCGAAAGTGATCCGGAATTGCTTGGGTTTTGTTTCAGTTTGCTCTGTGATTAGTTCACAAGACTAGCGCCATCCTCTCGAGCAATCAAATTAAAAATCTAAAACCAACCTCGACTCAGTAATTCACATTTTCCCGCGCTTGAACCGGTTGGCTTTCTGTAACTTTAAGTTCTCGTCGACTCCTTGCGATATTCTTCCTTGATTTGATTTGAAGTTGTTACAACTTCAGTGTTAGCTTCGAGACAGTCAATCAAAATGTGCTCATGTGTGCAAGTCGTTGAAGCATTCAACGACACCCTGTACTGTATCTGAGATACTTTTACTTATGTTTTGATTGATCGAAAGGCTTTTATTACAGATGAATCGAAAAAAAAAATCAAAATAACACGAACCCCACCCTTCCTAAAATAATGACAATCTTATTTAAGCCAGTGAGGAAGCGCGCATCATTCACTCTGTTCCTGAAATAATCATTGTCTGTTTCTAATGATTTTCTTTAGGAACACGGAAAACCGTATTTATGAGGTTCTTTTCAATTCGTTTATAAGTTTTAAAATCACACTTTCTATGCTAGGAGATGGGCTTCTTTTTCACGGCTTTTTCAACTGATCGCAGTGTCCCGATTTTGACAAAAGTCAGGAGTTACAATACAGACTTTCGTTAAATTTTATTTCGCAGCCATCTTGGACCATCTTTCGTAAGATTCTTGCGATGTTTCGCGCATCGTCCATCCCACAGTGCGGCCGCCCTTCAAATTTCATACCAAGATTATTGACCATGTCTTCAAGAGTCCCATTTAGTACTTTGTAAAAGTTTCTGTACAATTTTCTCAGATTAATCCACTTTCTGGCGTACTTGGGTATGGGAATGGAACAGAGTTGGCATTGCCCCGAGAAGAAACGCTTCATATCATAAGGGCTACATTGGAAAAAAATACAAAGGAATTATCATGGAAGCTCTGGAAACGCCCCTCTCCCCAGAAGTCCTTCCCTTCTCTAAGCCCCCATCTCGAATAGGCCCTCTCTCTTTGGGACCATCTCTTTAGCCCACCCTTCCCTTGAGCTAAAAACTGTGGGGTCGTTGGTCGCCTGAGCGATGCATCTTTACAGTACAAAATATTCTTATGTAATTAAAGGAAGCATTTGAAAGCGTTTATCGTCTTCGTTTTATATATGGTAGGTTTTGAAACCAAAGAAGTGCATTTCATACTGTGCTTGGCATTCATTGAAGCTGTAGAATAATATTAACGACACAAATGTTAGCGCTCATCGACTCATCCCTTCACTGATAAGCCCAACATCTGCAAGCCCTGCAAATTTACAACTTTATATCTGCCTGGGCGAGACACGTTCACGGTGTCTCTCTCTGCCCTATAGTATGTATGAGTACCTGTCTCTGGGATAATGATTCAGTTATTGGAAACTCAGTAAAGGAAGTGCAAGAAATGTGTATGAGAAGCAAACTCACCCATCAGTAACAACAGCAAATTTATATTCTGATCCAAGTTTATGATCTCTAAGCCATTGATGAAAGTTGTCAAGGACTCCTGGGAATGTATCAGCATTATCTACAATTTCCTACCCAGCAAAACAAAATAAGTACATTGGAAAAAAATTATTTAGGCATACATTGAAGATAACCCACGCCATCAGCAAGGAGATGATATAAACTGCTGATCAATGCAATGGATTCTCAACAATACATACAAGATTTTTATTCCTAAGAAATTCTCAATGTTTAATATTTTATCAAATCTAAAAACAAACTTGTCAATATCACATGCTTTGGAAAACAGTTTTTAGTGGTATAGAGTATATTTTGCTAATTATAAACTCATATTAGACTCAAAATACTTTATGAACCATTTAAGAAGCAGATTCCATGTTGCCATGCCTCTGTTTAGTATTACAAGTAGATCATAAATGATGTGAAAATGTGGTATGAACCAAAAAGGGGCTCACAAGGTGCAGCTGTGTGTGTCACTGATGTTCATATCACTCACCACACAGGACCTGGGCAATATGGAATCTATTTGTTTTATGTCATAAAGAAGCAAAAACTTGTCAATGGTGACATCATCTATGGCTTTGTCCTCCAATAGATCAAAAGTAAGAACCAATAACAACAACCTAAGCAGACTGACAACAACTATTCACTTGACTCTGATGATGACTTCCGCTCCGGTTGTTGAAACATCAGTCACCACTATCGACAACAGTCCTTCTCAGGACTACACTCACCCAGACAATCAAACCACACTGTTACATGTTACCACCGAGTTAAAATCATTTACTGTAATATGAGCACAGATAAAAGCACATGACTGTTTACAAAGACTCCAGTGACAGAGATTCCAGCCATAACTGATGGACAAAAGTCATGCACAATAATGTTGTTCATATTTTAACTTTTATTACCTGGGTAACTCCTGTTAGGTTCTGGCAGAACTGTGATAGTTCTGGTTTATCTTGTGGTTTGCAGTACTCATGAAATTCAGACACCTGAAGAAATATGTGAAATATTGGTGTATGATCAGTCCTGAATACAAACAATAGCTAACATAGCATGTTAAAGTGCTATTTCAGATATCAGTAGTGAGGGTTATAGTTAAAACACTAATCAGTCATAAGCCTAAAAAATCAAATTTGGGTGAGTTAACAACAGAAGGGTTCACATGACTTGAATATGCTCTGACATCCTTTCCAATGCATTGTGTGGAAGGCCACATCAGTCACTGCAGCTGTCGTCCCGAGTGATCTTTATGTTCTGGAGAATTCGGTTGTTGTTAATTCGTAAC